GGCGGGGGCGAGGTGGGGGGGGGGGATCGGCTGTTCACGGGCCTTCATTGTGCGAGTCGAGATGTGGAGCTGCGAGCTTTGTTCTCGGCTTTGCAGACCGGTGTGCTTTCATCCGCTGGTTTGTTGGTTTGCTTTTTGGTGTTTTTTTTTTTGAGGAGGGTGGGGGTTAGGTATGAGACGACCCAAAGCCTGCCATGTAGCTGAGATAATCTCTCAATAGTTAGTTGTAGCTGTAGATTGAGGGAGTAATACCGGCTGCTCACATAGTGAGGTCGTCCGTGCCGGTGTATCAGATCGGAGGCGTCTCCCTGCTCTAACTTTATAGATGCTGGGAGTCATAATTCGGTCAGAAGGAGAGTGTGTATCTTACCCTTACTTACCGCATGACCTTGGCTGAATCCGAGATTAAGCCAAGATTTAAATGTGAACTAGTGCTTGTATGAAGACTTTCCAGCCTCTTGTAACGCCCTAGATATACTTGCTGGAGCAGCACCAGAGAAAAGGCTTCCATACATCTTTCAGGTACATTTTAGTCTCGATCTAGGTGATCTAATGTGTTACTAATTCTCAAGGCTTACCTGGTGACCTTTTATGTTAAGGGTTGCACACATACAATAAGTATGCTTTCTAAAGAAAATGATATATTTTTTTTTCACAATTGGTTGAAAGCAACATTTGCAGTAAGCCGCCATGTTTCCAGTGTATGCTATTTTTGTCTAGCCTGTGCTCTCGCAAGCCAGGAGTGACAGCTTTAGGAAATGTGGACACTGCTATCAAGCTCTGAAAGCTAATGCTTCCACGTGCCATAAATCAAATGTGGTGTGTGTGTTGGATTGTTTTTTAGCTAACAGGACTTTTTAGCTTGGTGCCCTAAAGAGAAGGGAGTGCAGAAGTTGACAGACAAAAACTGCTTTTTAAACCTTTTCTGAAATAATCCCTTTGACCAAGTTTTCATTTTCCTTATTCCCTCTCTGTACAGAATAAGCCAAATGATTTTCTTAAACAGTTCCGTGATACTTATGTGATACTGGTGGTGGCATGTTCATGTCCTGTGAACTGAACTTACCTTTTCCTGGGGTGTTTCAGTCAGTGTACTTAATGTTGTGAGTCTAGCTTTACAAAAAAAAAGCTTAATAGATGGAATATGTAGCTAAATTGAAAGCTGGCTCTAAATATATTTATATTTAAGGTTTTATATCCGAATAGTCACAGAGCATCTTTATGATGAAGATCTCTCAACTTTCTTGATAGCATCACATGTTCCAGGGACTAGTTTACCTGAAAGGTAATGTTAAAATATGCTAAAAAGTGTATTTATACAAAATCTGTTAGAAAAAGAATCAAGTCAACATTGGAACCTTTGCAAATGTGTATCCTATTTTTAAATGTAAGTCTTATTTTTAAAAAAAAAAATCATGTGTTCATCAGATGCTAAATAGTGGTCTCCAGTTCTTGTGTGAATTAGGCAACCACGTTTTTTTTTGCTAGGCTGTATTTTTTTTTTTATAAGTGCGAACTCCTTAAGTTGGGAAAACATGATTAAAGTTAAGGTAGAAGACCTGGTGGACAAGATTTCCTTTGTCTAGGTCAAGTGTAAACATCGGGTTCTTCTGTAGGGATTCTTTGCGTTTACAGTCAAAAGAAACAACAAAAACATATAAGAGGACTTGTTTGTCCTGTGACTATAAGATCACTGCTCTGCTGATACTCTTATGTTTAAAATTGAGATGTTAAAACTTAAAATCTTTATGCACCTGATAAAACAGCAGACTCTTTGTTGGTTGAGAAAGCTAGTGGGTTTTTTTTTTGGCTTGCAAATTGTGAGGGGAATATTTACAGCAGGAATACTTTTTAATGAAAGCAAAATAAAGCAAAGATGTTACTGTAAGTACATACTGGTATTTCTGTTTGTAACAGTAGTGCCTGTTGAGCACTCATAAGATTAGGGTAGATGGCCTGTTTGAGTTAGAAAATGTCTGAACTGATTATTCTAGTTTTTAATAGTAGAACCTGGGCCTTTTCATCTAAATAACGTGACAAATGAAGAATCACAGTAGAGCAGGGCCTTGGCAGCATGGTGCTAGCTGTGGTCTGCTGTACTTGAAAGAAACCAAAGGTGAAAGTGATAGTTGTGTCTAGAAGACTGGATACTTCTTTATAGGTGCCTGTGTAAAATCTCCAGAGTTGAAGTAGTTATGATCTTCTTGCTGAAACTGCTAATAGATAATCTGCAGCTACTTCATTGAGTAATATTTTTTTTTTTTTTAAAAGAGACAATTACAAAATCTGATCTTTAGCTACTTTAAAAGAATCCCTAAAACTTTGCAGGTGGTGAATGTTGCACTGGTCTGAGGTCCCCGTTTTGCTATATTAAGTCTGGACCTCTTCCAGAAGGACACAGCTGGTGGAGTACTGCTTTCAGAGCTAGAAGATTGTGAGCTGTCAGTTATATACAAATTATGAACCTGATTCTTTGCTGAGGCAAATGTGGATTACTGCATTCTAAAATACTGGTGGCCATCTCCCCTTTTCTTCTGCATTGCCCTGTACTGTTTTTTCTGCTATTAGGCTGACTTTCTCTTTTATTTTTAAGTGCCTAACAATGTAACGATACCATGATGGATCAGTCGTAAGTGCTAGGATCCAGTTGGTATATGAACATTTAGTTTTCTGTGGCTA